CTTTCTGGTAGTAACTTGTAGTGTAGCTAGCTACTTTTTCAGAAGGGTAGCTTGACTGTAGCTTAACTACTTTAACTTGTGAGTAGCTTGTAGCTTATCAAGCCACAGTTTCAGAGTAGCTTCCCCAACACTGTCCTTTTCTAATGCGATCGAGAGTGCATGTAAACACTGGATCGGATTGAAGACTGAAACTGAAAGGACTGCACATGTGCAATGATACAGTAATAGTGTAATGAAATATGACGCGAGCTGTTCTTCCTGTTGAATAAAGTGTTGTATAAATTAGTGTTCTGTTATTATAAACCTCTCATTTCACTCAGCGTCTGTAAAGTGGAGTAGGACAATATCCTGTAACATAGTTCGTAGTCACGGGAAGAAGGAGGCGGGACCCGGCGAACACTTCAACAAAACTTTAATAATAAAATAAACAAAACAGCGCGACAGCCCCTCGCGGACGACTCCACGGCCCCGCCCCACTCGTCACATACCCCCATCGCCCCTCGCAGGCCGGGGGGTACTCCCGAGACTGTGCTCTACTCCCCCCCTCCCCCCTCTGGGGGAGCCGATCACGGCGGCCTTGGCGTACCTGGGGGTAAGGACAGACAGACGAGGCGGGAGAAAAGGAGACGGAAGGATGAGGAGAGACAGAGACGAGAGAAAAATTTCTGGGTCCGGTTCCCAGACACACTGCCACTCGGCCCTCCACCAGCTGGGTCTTTTATCCTTCTGGAGCTCCTCCGGTGAGTGGCGCAGGTGTCGCGCATTAGCAATTACTCCACCGGCCTCGCTCCGTTCCCACGGCTCTCGGCCCCGCCCCACTCGTCACACATCCTATCAGTCCTTGTTTTGGATTCTTATCCACAAACAACTGGTTTTGGGCATTGGTGGGGCATTACTGCGTGATAAATATAAGCAGCACGGCACAGAAATCGATAAATATTCATTCTGCTGTTTAAAACAAATAAAGAAACAGTGTAGGAGAATGGTTATTATGTGCAAACAGTGGGAAATTCTCTATATTTGTGCAGTATGCGCATGTCAAAGCTTGGGACATATAAACGCACACATCAACCCGATCACTTTATTTAGCGTTAATGTAAACACTACATTCAGATTCATCAATCGGAATGAATTCAGTCCGATTGAATCAAAAGTTGTACATGTAAACATAGCCTGTGAGAAACAATGGCACTGCTTTCTTCAGCTCATTACCCCCTCTCTCTTTTCCCTCTCTTGTCTACATTTCTCAAAGCGACATCTATAAAACATTTATCAACATTACCATCAAAGCAACGACGCATTCACACACAAATTCATACACAGTCAATGCACAGTCTTGACCTTATAGATACACACACAAATTGAATGAACTATATTTCACTACTCACACACAGACATTCATTGTTATTCTACTATGATCAAATATGCACATATACTCAACTGAGTCTACTGAGAAACTCATCTATAATCTGTCTCCCTCTCCACCACACACACACACACACACACACACACGTTCAAGCTCATAAAAGTTAATGCACGCTTGCTGCAGTCAGGATGTTAATTCATTGGTCCCTGTAGACTCTTACTTAAGGTAAGGTTTTAAAGAGGGAAAGATTAGCTATTCATGCACACAAAGACAAGTGGCTAATCTCCCCCTCCCCGTTCGCTTTGATTCCTGCCTCCTTCCATAATTCATCAGCGCTCTTCCGTTCCTGCCGCCCCCCTCTGGGCCAGGTTTCTATGAATAGATGATTAGGACGTCGGAATCGAAAAAATCTGATGAAGAGTCACAAAGCGCACACAGTTTCTGTGGCGAGAGAGTGTTGATGCGCCCATGGCAAGCTCCCGTCCCACCGCCGCCGCTGCTGGGGTCGTCCCAGGATGTTTGGAGGGTGTTTTTTTGTTGCAATGGGTGGCCAGATTTCAACCGGGACACACAGGGGGTGGCAGGAATCCTGGTGAATACTTCGAAGATGTAGTTTATTTCATCAAAACGTTGCCTGTAAACGATTAAACGTTGGCTCTGTCCATTTCTTAGTGAGCTGACTTGATGTGACTGATTTCAATAGAATTTGGTTTACAGCATAACAACGCAATGTTCTAATAAGGGTAAAAATACATAAAATGCACAAAAAATTATTTTAATTTAATTAAACTATTTCTTATTTTCAATGAATTTTAGCACTAAATCATAGATTTCTTCATTCAGCTTGTAGTAATGCATTATGGGATCGCCCTCCTCATGAAGGATACTTGAGATGCTGCTTTTTGGCTAAAAGAAAGTGCTATATAATAAACACAGCATTACTGTTTTGTTTTCCAGTTAAAATATCTAAAAAATTCTAAAAACAAGACTGGTTTACTTGAGAAGTAACACTGCTTAACAAATTAAAGGGTTAGTTCTAGTGGTCGACCGATATGTGTTTTTTGACAGCCGATGCTGATATCTTGGAAAGCAGGGTGGCCGATGGCCGATAAAAAGCCGATATAGTTTTATTTATTTTAATTAATATTCAAGAAATTTGAAATCATTTGAAAATGGATTAAAAAATAAATCAATAATTAAAAAGAAAGTAAACACTGTAACCAACAGGGCACTCAGTATTCTTGGAAGTTTGTGTGCATTGGGAATCATATTTTTTCAAACAAAGCCAAGGTAACACTCATTTTACATACAGCACACAGTGAAAATTACATGAATATGACAGTGGGCAAATGCATAAAGCGCAGCATAATTTGAAATCACGAGCTTACGATCGCGAGTCTTCAGTGAAGCTGCACTCTCCTCCTGTCCACATTCACTTCGCACGGACACGGCAAAATAAAAGTCCGTCGCGCCGTCAAAATAAAAGCCTCTAACGCATCGGCCAAACAGAAAAACTGATCGGCCGATGCCGATATTTGAAAAATACCAAATATCGGCCGATATATCGCCAAGGCGACCACTAGTTAGTTCACCCAAAAATGAAAATTCTGTCATTAATTAATAATAATAATAATAATAATAATAATAATTCATTACATTTCTATAGCGCTTTTCTAGGCACTCAAAGCACTTTACATTGTCAGGGGGTATCTCCTCATCCACCACCAGTGTGCAGCATCCACCTGGATGATGCGACGGCAGCCATAGTGCGCCAGAACGCCCACCACACACTAGCTTATTGGTGGAGAGGAGACAGAGTGATGAAGCCAATCAGCAGATATGGGGATTGTTAGGAGGCCATGATGATCAGAGGCCAATGGGCAAATTTGACCAGGATGCCGAGGTCACACCTCTACTCTTTTCGAAAGACATCCTGGGATTTTTAATGACCACAGAGAGTCAGGACCTCGGTTTACGTCTCATCCGAAGGACGGTGCTTGTTGACAGTATACAGTACCCATCATTGCCATTTTGGAGAGTATCCACTGAACGCAAACAGCATATGCTATTCTGTGTCAGCTGCGTCACGCGGATACGTAAGATATGTTACGCAGATATGTTCTTGTGTTAGGAAAAAACAAGTTAAAAACAAGTAAAAAAAATCTGCCAGTGTAGTAAAACAAAATACCCTAATATTCGAGATACAGTCTAGGAAAACAAGTCTTAAGTTATGCTTCTCATGAAAATTTTTCTTGTTAAAGGGGAATTGTAGATACTAGAAAATTACTACTTTTCTTATTACTACTAAATAAAATTACTACTAAAATTATTATTACTACAAAATACTAGAATTGTCTTAACTAGAAAATTACACAAAAATACTATGAATAAGAGTTTTTACAGTATAAACAGCTCAATACGTTTTTGAACAAAATTTGTGTTTTGCAGAATAGTTAGTGCATATCATAACAGTGTTATATCATTATAAGCTTGGCTTGGTGGATGACAAAAACAAAGACAGCACGTGTATGTGTCATGTAAATTTTGGTGGCTGAAAATGCATTTGCACATTTTTCCAGCTAAGCTGGCTGTTAACTAGCTGCTTGCACTGAGAGAACGACAGGCAGTGACCAGACATGCAAACTCATTTCTGAAACAATATCTAGAATAAAACTACAGATAAAAATACAGATAAGAAACAGTTATAAATATTGAAGCTAAAAGGAAGCAAGCCATGTTCTCAACAAATCTTTTCACTTAAAATTATTAGTTAACAGTTAACTTGTGTCTTCAATGTCTATGCTGGTTATGGACCTGCACTGAAGATACTACCTTTTCAGTCAGTGAGCCTCACAGTGGAAACTGGGACATATTTACATTTTTTAGCAAACTATCCAGACACTGTATTTTGGACAATGCTCCGCTACATCACGTACAGAAATGCAAAGCAGATATTCATGCGGCCTCACACTGCTGACTCAGGGATGAAGGTCAAAAGGCAGGAACTATGTGAATTACTGCTGCTTGGGTGTGAAATAAAGTTAGCTATACATGAGCATCCAATCCCATCTGGCAAAGTCGAGTGCAATGGACACAATGAGGACATATTCATCTCTGTGGAGGAGAACTCAAGCTACTAAACACAATAGGTTTGCGCATGCTATAAATATGCAACTTCAATTTGCGATTTGTTCTAACAGCAATATTTTCATCCAAAGTGGCCAGCGAGGTCAACCCTAAAGGCCAATTTACTTCATCAATGACACTGTTAGAGAAGTATCGTGACCTCAGAATAGGCTTTAGTAGCACTGTACTTTAATCCAAGCTCTTTCTTTATCACATAGACTACAAGATGGTGTGGACATGCTTGACCATGTTCCTTAAAAGAACAGGGATGAAATGCAGACCCAATCAGGCTGCTTGTGTGTTCTTGTGTTGCGCCGGTGGGGTTCTGAGAGTCTCTTTAATGCAGTACAAGCAGTGATCGATCCGCTGTCTGCTCCCAACACAGAGCACACTATTCCCCTATTACAAACACACTTATTCTACTCATCCACCTCCCACCAAGCCAACATAAAGAAAGAAAGAAAACAGTAAATATCAAGCTTCCAGTGTCTGTGGGTGTTTGCTTTACCTGTTGGACATTGATCCAGTAACCGATGATTTTGTCCACAGCGTCGGGCTCTTTCTGTGTCCACTGTAAGATGTAGGAATAATTGTTCTTCAGGGTGCGAATGGGGTTTGGAGTGTCGTAGTAAAACTCTGCATTATACGGCTGAGCTAAACGGACGAACAAACCAAAACAGAGCATGACTAGTTAGTCAAATACTTTAAAAAGATAAACTACTACCATCTAAGCCACCGTATTTTGCAATGCGGAAGTAAGCTATTTTCTGTGAATGTGTGATGCTTTCGATTCATTAGCCGCTGTAGGCAAATGACTAGTAGAATAACAAAGTGCAATAAAAGGTAAAACTATTTGCACTACAAGCTGGCGTGTCTATAAATATGTCAATGCATTAAAATAATATAAGAAAAAACAGTTTGCAAGATCAAGCGGCATAATGGACTGTTAATAATAACTTTAAAAATAAGGTGGATATTCAACTGAAATAGCAGTGGTGGTTCTGTTGCAAGACATAGCTGCTACACTGAATATAATGTGGAAAATTAGTTTGCAATTCTAGGTATGCATAGTTAATTGCATTTTATTATTGCAGAAAAAAAGCCATTATTGGGTCATGACTCACCGAATGAGAACCAATTATTTAGAGCATCAATGAAGGTCAAGCATCTCATTAAAGGAGAACTGTTTAATTTAGTGTCACCAAACGGAATTGCAACACCGGGGTGTATTTTAAACTTGTTTAAAATAATTACTTTTCAAATTTTGTCTGGTGCAGCGGATAGTGAATAAATTATACATTTGCGTGGAATATACATGCACCTGTAAGCAGTTATGCTGTGTTAAAGTCAATTTTTATTTTAGTGAAATTACAGTTTTTGGTGTTTCTATGTCCCTTACAAAAACCTATTATGGTAACCAACATACAGTAGTTACTGAAAACCAAAATACAGTAATTATTTTTAGTGTAGACCCATAATAAATAAATATGAGATCTCCTTCAACAATGTAAGAGGCTAACAGAATCATTCTGTCATTTATTTACCATTGGCCCAACTAACAGGGAACATTATAACAACTTTGGCTAACATTCTGGCAAGGTTCTCTCAGAGTTATGAACAAACGTTCTCCCAGTAACATGTCATTCAAACTTATCTGGTCTTTAATAACGTCTTCAAAACATTATTTATACATTGTTTGTGGAATGTTTTTCTAAAACATTTTAGTTGGACATTCATCTAACTTTTTGAAACTCTACTAATTAGTTGTTTCAGATGCTTCAGAGATAATTCAAAAGTAACTTTCCCATCACATCTGGAAGATGATAAAATCAAACATTCTCCTAATGTTTTTGCTAATATTCACATAACCAAGGGGGGAAAGAAAATATTTTTTAACATTTGAAAAACTGGAACATTCGAAGAACATTCATAAATAACATTTTCATAACTTAATGGGAATGTTAGCAAAATGTTCTTAGAACATACTTTTGTTAGCTGGGGTACATTTCTGCAGAAATGCCTTTCGTAGTAGTCAGAGTAAGGACAACTGCATGCTAAATGTTGCAACACAATTCCTTCTATCATATTACCAAATCTGCATGTTACACAGCAGCTAGGCCTATAACAGCAGTCATATTAGAGTGTGACGATAGAACTAGCTGATAGCATTAGCACCGCTCAGCTGTCATGATGTGTTGGCAAAGCTAAAGATAAGACCCTACTGAGAAGGAAAAGCCTTACAAGTCTGCAAGAGGGCAGCCCATTTTCCCCCCACAGAGAGAACAGAAACACCTGGGCCTTTTTGGAAGTGTACTGTATAGTGCCACATCACCGTCTGCTGTTTCTTGACAGATTTCTACATCAACTAGCGTAGTAGCTAACAAAGCTGGCAACTCAACTGTAAGGAGTGAGTGACAGACATTTTTCACATAAAATATGATAATTCTGATTTTAATGCTATTCATTTTCCAGGAAAGCAAGCAGAACTAATCATGTGATCCCAGACAGTCGCGTAGCTACGGGTGGGCCTGGGTTCAGTTGCTTCAGAAGGTAGCCTAATAATTGTGAATTCTGTTGCAATAATCACAATACTTTATCTATAAAAATAAATTGTGTTGTTGCTTTATCTTGTTTGCCATATAATGATGAAGATAAGTTTGCGAACAGCCCCTTAGTTAAAGCAGAGATCACTGGATGCTGTTATACATGCCTTTATCCGTATTAGGGTTTTCCTGGCACGTCACATTACTTCTATGAGTCTGTTTTGTACTTTCTGCGCGAGAGCGCCCTCCGGTTTCGAGTATGAATGAAACGTCCCCGCATATCCACGCTCAAGGAGCTGAACAGCTCTGCTAGTGCTAACGTTAATTCACATATTTCTCCATCACCAGCAGCGCTCCATTCTCTAAAGGCTACCTCCCCTACAGTGTACAGGTACAAAAATCTACATTTTCCTAATGTCAGTTGCCTAGTCACTGTTGTTTATTTCATGTGGTTTATGTGGCCGCTGAGCCAGACTATGACCAAGCATGGGTTTTACATACTGTCCATTACTACTGTCCTGCTGATTTGATGATGGTGGTGTTGCGTCTGTCAGATGCGCGTGTGTGTGGTGTGGCCGCCGTGCTCATGCTGTTCTTACTGTTATTTTCTTAACACTGCTTATGATGACATACAGGCTTATGCTCTGATTAAACGGTGATGTAAATTCAAGCAGGTGTAACTGTTAGTTGTGTTGGCCTATTTTGATAACAGATGTATTTTAGGCTAGGCCCACCCACATTGTAATTCCTGGCTACGCTAGTGATCCCAGATGCAAGATCCGGTTTGATCCAGTTTAAACCAGCTTGATGAAAGTGGTTTCATATGGTTTAGTTGGTCCAAGCTGGTCATTTGTGGTCTTTAGTTTGTCCAAGCTGGTTTAGGTAGTTGTAGTAATGTCTGAAAGATTAGTTCTTCTGAGTCGGGTCAATGAATCAGTTGAACCAGTTCACAAAAACTCTGAATGATTCATTTATGAATCAGCAACTGGACTTGACTAAACTGAGAAGCAACATTTCATAAATGTTTCAAGAAGGGTTTATATTATAACTTAATAAGCCACATTATGATGTGAATAGTATTTTTGAAATGGTTCATTGAAACTATTTGAAAGATCCAATTTGTTGAAATTAATCAAACTCCACATCTAAATAGTTGATCATCTAGTCTAGCAGCTTTTGGGCTCAGGCTGACCTAGCAAACCATCTTGGTTAACAAGATTAGGGTTAGTAGACCAACTTGGCCAAACTGGTGGGGTTAAACTAGTTGACTATGAAAAACAAGTCTGACCAACTAGCAGTTATCCAATGAATAATCAGTCTCACTTTTCGGATTCAAATTAGATCAGTCTACCTTTTTATGTGACTGAGTTGTTAAAGGGGACATTGGATGAAAGTTTTACTTTTTCAGCTTGTTTTGCATTAAGTTAGGTTTCTGGCGTGTCTGCAAGCTCAGAAAAGCTGAAAAGAAAACATGCAGCCAGTTTGTTGTGGGCTGTCTGAGTATGAAACTCTGGCCCTGTCCCTCGCAGTCTTCCTCTGAGTCCATACTTTCGTGACGTAATGCCGCTTTGACTGTCGGGTAGAAGTCTGCTGCGGAGCTCGCACCAGTGCGGATCGAGGGTGCGTAACGGCCGCAAAAGGAGGCGCTCGCGAGCACCCTTCTGAACGCTAAAATGACAAATGGGACACCCTACGGTCTCGTGGACTTAACGGACACGTGCACGCGGCGGCCATTGTAAGTCCATAAGACCACAAGTGCACATGAAGTGTTCCATTTGGGACAGGGCCTCTGTCATCCAGCGAGCTGTTTCAATTTTCAGCTGGTTTCTACGTAGATAGCTATAGCTATTTGAGTAAGAACACCTCCGAGCCTTATACAGATATATTCCCGTGTCTTGTGTGGACACGCCCCACGGAAGAGAAAGGTGGGGTGAGTAGTAATGGGCATTATCATTTAAAGAGACATGCACCGAAACGAATAGCTATGAACAGAGCAGTTTTTGACCAGGTAAAAAGGGTGTTGTTTTACACGACCATTGAAGAATTTTAACCAAAGTATGTTACAGACATTTTATAAAGAATCATTCCAACTTATGGAAAATGGGCATACAACATCCCCTTTAAAGACAAAAGTTAGATGACAAACTTATATGTCTAAGCAGTAACTGGCCACCTACTGGTATGACTTGGATTTTTGCAGCAGGGATAAAATTAAATAAACCAGACTGTTTGAGCTCACACAACAGGAATAACAAGACAAACAAAATATAACTTCTGACTCTTGACAAAGTTTGGTAACCCTCCTATATCAAGACTATCAGACCCAAAGCTACAGGAAAGCATGAAGATCAATTCTCCCACATAATACCCACATACATCATACATACGTTTTTTACAACTCACCAGAAACAATGAAGGTGCAGGTTGAGGTACCGACTCCATTGCTCAATCTGCACTCGTAAGTGCCATTATTAGTGGTGTCTAGTTTGAACCGGAGCTGAGGGACACTTTGAGGGTCCACCGGTGGAGTTCGGATGGGCATCCCATTACGGTACCAGCGGGCGCTGGCTATCCGGTTTGGATTGGACTTGAGAACCAGGCATCGGAGATTGACTGTCGAAAGCGTTTGAGAACGGACATCCAGCAGGACTGGATCCACAACAGGAGGGTCTGGTGGAGAAAGAAAAACTATTACACTGGAATTCTTCGACATTTTTCAGTTCATATTTTGGGTAAAATTACGATTTTAAAGTCATTTTTCATCAATTGCATCTGTTTTGGCCTTCTGTCCTGACATTTTGACTTCTATCACATTCACTTTGGTAAAACACTCTTTAGAGGAAGGTTCTCAAACAGCATTTTTTTTCTTCACTAACAGGACAAAATCAATTTAAGGAAAAGAACAGTAAATGAACTGACCACTCTTGAGATTTTTACTGGAAACGAAGCCCCACATAAACCACACCAAAGCACTTAGGACACAACGCATGAATCCATCGCACATGCCGACGACATTCAGATGACAGATTGCAAGCTACTACCTGAATCAATAAGATGGGGTCCACATTGTCTCAGCTAATTGCATGGAATCAATCTATATAGTGTGCTAGAGCTAGTGACTAATTACAGTCTAGCAGGGTCTGGTTAGACACTCCGCATGTATGAAGTGATGTGACTGCAAATTAGCATCACAGCACCTCAGGCATACATCAACAGTACATTACTGTAACTAATAATGTGCAGAGACTGTGACAAAGCATCAGGGTGTAATTAACTTATGAACTTAAATTCAATGCTTTCAATGACAATATAATTATAAATCCTTATTAGCTTCAGACTGACTTAAACTCTTTGGTTGTACTGGATGATATCTTTGATAGACAATCCTTTGAAATAGACATCTAACATTCAAAACGATTATCGTCCCTATTTTCCATGATCCAACTAATTCCTGATGGATTAAATCATTTTTTTTTCCCATTTCACTTGAAAAATATGTCAGATTAAAGAAATAATGTGGCTTGTTAAGTGGCGTCTCATACTGACGTCAGTAAAAAAGGAAAGTCGTGTCAGAGGTTCACCAAGTTATCACATGGTGATGAAAAATTATAAATAAGATTAAACATTTTTCATTTTTCATCTGCAACAAATATGGTAAAACAAGACCAGGTCTGTGCATTAAGGAAGCAGACAAGGTCAAATTTGATTTCACTGACTCGTGTTCACACAAAACTGCCAAAATGATCACAATCAACCCCATTTAAAATTCCCACAAGGTTCTCTGGTTTGTGCTTTGGATCTAGGACTAAGAAAACAAACAGCATGAGAGATAAGTAGTACTCCAGCCAAACCACTCCATAAGTGGCACAATTATTTGTAGTAAAAAAAAAAATATTATTAAATAATTTACATTATTTACACAGTATTTGGTTGTATCCCACATATTGCACATAATAATTTTGCATTATAAAACTAATTTGATACAGTTTGTATATTTATTTTGATGCTTATTTCATTTATTTCCAGAAATAAAATGTACTTAGACATGTCCCAAATGTTGCTAAGTGGTTAGGTAAACTTAAATGAAAATGAATAGAAAAGCAGCACTGCTAGCAATGCCAGGGTCATACGTTCAAATCCCATGGAACGCATGAACTTATTCATTATACATGATGAAATGAAAAAAAAAACGGCTCATATGATATTTTGTTGGACTTTTCTTACTTTTCTGAAATGTATCTCCTTTTACTGATTATTTGTTGGCAAAGAAAAAATGCTGAATGCATTTAAAACATATAAACGTGGTGAGCAAAGAAAGCATGAAAAACAGACACAGGCAAGACAGAAAGAAAAGTGAAGTTGGGAAATGCATAACAAAGGGTGCCGTGAATGATACTGTACAGTATATAGCATTATAAATTCCCTTGATGTGACGGGGTGATCATCAGTGTTGCATTTCAACGCAGTTTGTGAAAAACATTTATCTAAACTCAACAGGAAGAGGTGATTTCCTCTCATCTATTCCCATAATGAAGTTTACACCAGACTATTTTTATTTCACAACACAACAGTTCCAATAAACAAACTATAATCATCTGTCTCATGTGAGAGGACACGTGTCTGTAATCAAAACATCATAGGCTTCAGCCACCCACTGATAAATATGAGGGCGAAGATAAAACAAGCCCAAAATAGAGACACACGAGAAAACATATGACGTGACATGTGGCCAAGTATGGTGACCCATACTCGGAATTAGTGCTCTGCATTTACCCATCCAAAGTTCACACACACAGCAGTGAACACACACAAACCGTGAACACACACCCGGAGCAGTGGGCAGCCATTTATGCTGCGGCGCCCGGGGAGCAGTTGGGGGTTCGGTGCCTTGCTCAAGGGCACCTCAGTCGTGGTATTGAAGGTGGGAGAGAGCGCTGTACATTCACTCCCCCCACCTACAATCCCTGCCGGTACGAGACTCGAACCCACAACCTTTGGGTTATGAGTCCGACTCTCTAACCATTAGGCCACGACTTCCCCCATATACTGTATACATACATATTAAAGTATAAAAAGTTTTCTGTCATTGGCCATTAAAAGTTAGTAAAAGAAAAGGGGGAAATTCAGAATATAACGGTACTGATATTTTGTGAACACAATTATTCAAAGCAACTACAAATCACAGATTTTTGTGTGAAAAAAAAAAAATTAAGATCATCTGGATTTTTTGTATTGTGAATGCAGATTTTTTTGTTTTACATTATTCATAAAGGAAAATTTCCCCAAAAATTTAAATTTGCTGAAAATGCACTCCATCCAATATGTATATGAGTTTGTTTCTTTGGAACAGATTTGAAAAATGTACATCAATTGCTCACCAATGGATCCTCTGCAGTGAATGGGTGCCGTCAGAATGAGAGTCCAAACAGCTGATAAAAACATCACAATAATTCACAAGTAATCCACACCACTCCAGTTCATCAGTTAACATCTCATGAAACAAAAAGCTTAGAAACAAAGTCCATCCCCTGTTGTCCTCTCATATCAAAATCTACTGACATACAGTATTGCTTTAACACTGTTTTGGACTGTTTTCACTTGTAAACGGTGCTTGATCTGTGCATATTTCTCTCCTGATTCAGACAAGATGACTTTTTCACTGAAGAAAGCAATATTATGAATAGAGGAGTTGCATTCTAATTCGGAAGCAATGATTTGAAGTTAAAAACGTTTTAATGGAAGATTTGTTTATTACAAACACGCAGCTTATGTATTACAGTACATTACTTGTGGATTATTGTGATCAGCTGTTTGGACTCTCATTCTGATGGCACCCATTCACTGCAGAGGATCCATTTGTGAGCAAGTGATGGAATGTTAAATTTCTCCAAATCTGTTCCGATTAAGAAACAAACTCATTTACATCTTGGATGGCCTGAATGTGAATTTTCAGAAAATTAACATTTTTGGGTGAACTACTCCTTTAATAATTAAATTCATTGAAAATAACATTTTAAAATACAATTATATTTTATTTAAATATAATATAATATTATTTAAAATAAAATAATATTTAAAATAAAATGCATAATATTTGAATATATATATATATATATATATATATTCAAATATTATGAATTCTTCTATAAGTAAATATTTATAATTGTAAACATATTAAAAAATTATAATAATAATATTCCATAATTAAAAACATAATATTTTAAATATAAATTTATTCATATGTTATTTAAATCAATATACATGCAACAAATACTATAAATGCTTTACGATTTAAATAATATGTCACTGAGATCGTTCTTGACAGGTTTTGTGAGATTTACCTTGCTAGCCTCTCAATGCCTCTCAGTGAAATGTGGTTCCGTTTCAGGCAGATGCTGTCTGTCTGTCCTGACACAGAGAGACAGGACGGGGTGTTAGACAGCATCCCCCTGTCTTCAGCTCCAGAGAGACAGGCAGAGCCACCTGGCTCATAAATCAGACCTGCCGTGGGATGAAGCACAGCGGTGGGCTCTAAACTGCCTCCATCCTGCAATACTCCGCATTAGCCGGGCCCGTTACGGCAGCGATATTGACGGAAGATAGAAACAAAGGGACTGAGGATGTGAGGATAGACTAGATGCGTGGGGGAGAGAGTGATTCATACGAGCTCTTAATGAAGCTATCACTCATTTAGCTGCAACACAGCATTCTGGGATTTCTCTGGCCATAAATCCTTCCCAAGAACTTCAATTTGTTCACAGCATGCTCTGCGTTACATGTTTCGGGATATATTGTGTTTAAGTCACATGCACAGCATTTATACTTCATCTCTGAATGTACGGGCTGTGCAGATTCATTGATTGTGCTGTTTAATAACAGTATAAATCGCGTAGCTGTTGTCATCGTTTATCATAATTGATCACAGGCCGAGCAATGACATGCTCCACTCACCTGAGACAAACTCGTTTACCTAAACGCTATCTGAGATGGAAAGAGACATATACTGAAACAACCCCTGTCACGCAGAATATAATAACAAAACAGCATATGATCAATAAAAATAATCTAAAGAGATATCAAAATGAGTTTACCAGCATAGCAGGCACATACATCCAAGTCTTTTACATGCTGTAATTAAAACAAAGATCATTTAAGTACATTTTCCAATACACTTGCAGTCTTTCTTCTTCAAAATTTCATATTTAATCCTGTGCTGTGCTGAAAATCCTTTACCTAATTTAGTATTCCGTGTCAAAAATGACCAGCCTATCTATATATATATATATAAAAACCTGCTTATAAATCTTGGATTCAATCTTTTTGTCAGTGTGTTTTCTTTCAATTAGCTCATATCTATAAGGTCTATGGTCAACCAGATCCAAAAATAAATGCCAAAAATGTGCTAATTGAAAGAAAACAAATTGATAAAAAATAGTATGCATGCTCAGTTCTCCTGGAATAATCTTTAGGTTCAATGCCTTGTACACAATGGTATCAGTTCATGGCCTGCACCTTGTGGGGCTTGAACCACCAACCACCTGGCTATCCCAGCCACAATGTCACAGCTCCAAAAAGCTCTTTGTGTGACACTCACGGTCAGATACTCCTCCTGTGCAGTGAATGGACCGACGCACACTCAAATTCAGCATCGTCCTGTAATCACATGGTGCATTTTGAAGCAATACAATAAACACAGGATCCATTATGAGAGCATAGAGTGCTTTGCTCCGCTAATGGCTCGTGTGAAAACGGCTGATGCGCACTGAGTGGTTCAGGGTTTAACCCGTCTATCTTTTGTGTGGTTGTGCGTAGCTAGAGCACTAATGAATTCAAGGCTTTTTAGTTTGGCACTTACAAAACGCACTCCACGTGGGCATCATAATGCATTATGAAAACTCTGAGAGCATTAACACACCCGCCAGCCCCCAAATGCTGCATCTAAAAATAGCAGGATCAAAATCATTGATAATGGCCTATTGGGTCTTAATGGAAAACGCGTGTCTCTTTGGCTCGTTCGGTCGTGCATTCGGAGACTCGATCTATCCTCAGTCAGTGGATCGCATTACAATCAAGATTAAAATCACATTAGAATGTGCGGCACCAAATCTAATCACGTCATTGACTGAGGCAATTTCACGATAGACTTCATCACATCTGGGATGTGTCCAAACTGTGTCAACTGACAAATAATGTGCGATAAGTCCAGTGGTCTGGTCAACTGATAAATAAAATCCTTCTGTGATCTTATAGAAAGGCTAGAGAGGGACAAACTCATTGGATAACCTTTTAACTCTAAATCCTTTTAATTTACGTTTAAAACTGCTATATATTTTGACTATGTCCGGCGCAATATAGACTAAAACAACAAGCAAACTAACTTAGTAAACATGCAATGTTGTTCACAAGCCATTTTATGCAATCGGACATACTTTTAAGTATGATACAGAATATTTGAGGAAAACAAAATCTGATTTTATCCACCTCGATATTGATTATACACTACCACTCAAAAGTTTGGGGTCAAACTTTCGAAAGAAATTAATACTTTTATAAAGTAAGGATGTTTTAAACAATGTATTAAACATTTATAAAGCTACAAAAGATTTATATTTCATATAAATGCTGTTCTTTCAAATTTTCTATTCATCAAAGCATCCTGAAAAAAATTTATCAGTTCCACAAAAATAATAAGCAACTTTCTTTCTTTCTTTTTTTTTTACATAAAAATAAGAAATGTTTCTTGAGCAGCAAATCAGCATATTATAATGATTTCTGAAGGATCATGTGACACTGAAGACTGGAGTAATGATGCTGAAAATTCAGCTTTGCCATAACAGTACTTTATTCAAATTACATATTGAAATATATTCAAATAGAAAAAGGTTTTTCTCAATAGTAATACTTTTTCACAATATTACTGTTTTTACTGTATTTTGTATCAAATAAATGCAGCCCCGGTGAGCAGAAGAGACTCTCAAAAACATTTAAAAAATCTTACCGACCCCCAAATTTAAACAGTAGCGTACATAAAATAAACAGTCAAAAAAAAAATCTAAATTATATTTAGGTAAAAATTAAGGCATCTGTAATAATTGTGCAAGTTATAATAGAAAATAATATAGATATAATAGAAAATAAATAGTTTAACTTCAATTGCTGGCTTTAACTACATTTTAGGTTAAATACTTAAATGTGCCATTTCAAGTGCTGTCTGCCAATCATTTTGAGTGTTCATGGGGCAACCCATAAATAAAAAGCAGGAGGCTGAGAATGTGATCATTTATGCCGATCATGGGGCGAAATGCAATTGACTGCTTACTTGTAAAGCATTTCAATGTAGCAAGCTACTTATAGCTTTAGCAGTTTGGCAAACTATCATTTCAAAGTAGTTCCCCAATTGAAAAACTTTGTGTGATGACTGAAACACTTACACTCCACGTTGAGCTGCACCTGACCCTGTCGGCGTTTGATGTTTAGGCCGTTGTAAGGAGCGGTTTGACAACGGTATGCTCCCATCATGTCCCGCGTCACATTGGTCAAACGCAAACGTCCATCACGTGTTTCCACCACCCAATCCCCCGATGGCATGGGCAGGTCCTTGTTTGCACGAGACCACAGAACAGGTGGGCGGGGCTTACCATCGACCAAACACACAAGCTCTGCGGTACCGCCCTCACTGACATTGACCACACCCCCTCCGACTGGCACACTCAGAACAGGAGGAACGACTGGAAAAGAGGAAAACATAGTCGTAAGAGGAGATGTATTGTTTTTGGAAGTCTGACCATTTAAAAAAAAAATCTAATAAAAAATTATATTAAATAATAGCTAATATGTGCAAAGAAACTGGAAGAAAATGGAAAAATCCATCTTTGGATGGAGATTTGTAAAGAGAAATCTGAAATTTTATGAGATACTACTAACACATATTTATAAAAGTTTATTACCAATTTTGTTCTGCAAGTTCTCTCTCTATATTTAGTGACCCATGACACTCAAATCTGATATTTATGAAAAATTTCACTGGAAAATGTGTGTCATCGTTGGAAATCTGCTGACATTGATCAAATTTAAACAATTTATCCCAACTCTTCAAAAAAATGCATTGGGAATAGTATTATATTAAATTAATTAATAAACTAACTCAAAACTATTTGTGTCTTATAAACACTTGTACAAAACATGTAAAAAAGAAAGAACAAAATACTACTACTCAATCAGTGTTGCAAAGTTAATGCCACAGTTCTTTTTAGCTTGCCTAAACAAGGCCAGTTGGCAGGTTAACAACAAATAAAATAAACAATTAATTGTGATACAATATAGAATCATTTATAAGATAAGATAACTGTTTTTTAGGACACTACAGTGTTAAATCTACTGGACCAACACCAAAACACATAAAGGAAAAAAACATTCAAAATAATGACCATATAGGGTGGACAGACTTCAAACAGTAGGACAGAAAGATCATAAAGCGAGAGATAAAGAGACTGTCAGATGATACGATTGATCATGTTAGGTACTGCAGTCAGAAACAGAGAGTAACCCAAGAGAAGGACAGAACTTCAAGAACAAAAAAAGAGGAGAAACTCAGAAAAAATAGTATCCTGCTGAGATAAGAGAGATCAGATCAGAGAGGACGCAAATGCATGAGGGCGTCAGTATTTCCCAGAATTCAAAATCTACTACCATCAACCCAACAGAATGGCCACTCCCACATTATCACTGTTTACCCACGAGGCATAAGTTTAACCTCTCTGATAGCTGGAAAAACACTCAGACAGCATGTTGGGCCGAAAAGCCCTATCTATGAGAAAAGACTTGTGCTAAATTGTGGTTTCTTTCTGTCTTGTTCTTTTTTTATATTTCTTTAAAAAATAGTAATATTGTGAGTGTCATTTTTTGGTAAATTTTTGTTTAGGCTTGCTATTATCTGACCATAACACTCTGAATCCAGTATAATACACCTTGCTAGATATATAGAAAAAATATGACAAATGGAAAATAAACACTTGTCAAGACAAATTCTGAATGTCTAAAAGTTTGAAGGTGATGAGTACTAGTTTGAAAGCTTGCAGTTGCTAAGATGTTTCATAAGTAGATTGACAAATAATTAGGCAGACAGAACGAGTGACAGACAGACAGACAGACAGACAGACAGATCTGGGTCACTGCGCAGCACAATGAGGCTGTCGGTGGGGTAGATGAGCGCTCCGTTCTTGTACCAGGTGTAGTTCACCATGTCCTGAGGCTGGGCGTCAACGTGGCAGGAAAGTTTGAGGTCTCGACCCATCTGTATGCTCTCACTGTCTTTGTTGGAATCCGGCGTGATCTGGAATGTTAAGTTCTTCATGGCTAATGGAGAGAGAGAAAGGATGACATGGTGATCACGGTGAAAAAAGCATTTAGGTTATGACTAAACCCATTTCTAGATCTATCAACTTTTTATTCACCAGAGTTTATAACTAAAACTACTCAAAATCAATAACTGAAATTACATACAATTAGCATATTAGACCAAAAAACATTTGTTAGCCTTTTCTACCTAACTTAAATAAGTTTAAATACTAAAATTGCTAAAACTGAAATGTATTATTTATTTATTAATCAAATGATCAACAAGACAAAGACTGAATGCAGTCTGTACGGGAGCGGATTTAACTGATTTAATTTCAGAAGTTTAAAATTTAGGTTTAGAAGAACCCCCATTTTTGAGGAACATTAATACAGTCCCGTCTTCCAGTGTCAGTTTTGTCACTGTACATGAAACCATCTCAGAGGTCTGCTTTACTGCAAACACTGAATGCATTCATGAGGGGAAAAAAAGTACAATTTGCATGATAAAAATAATGACTCAGTCACACTGCTGTAATCTGTTAGTACTGGAGCACTATTCATAACTATAACAGCTTAGCTGCGTGTTTACGCTCTGACAGTGTAAAAAACGACCCTGCAGGTGGAGACAGAAAGTTTAGCGCCATATGTTCAGCGCCCCGCATTTCAACAGACGGCTGCCTTACCTGGATGATTGGCTGCGCTCAGGTGTCCGCGGCACCTGCGTGTGCGTTTGACACAAAGCGAGCTCATTACCGTCAACAGAGACGGATCCAGCGTGCACCTCGCGCATTCCGAAATAAGACGCTTCTACTGCTAATTACCTCCATTCCGCTCAAATTAATTGGAGTAAATAAAAATGATTAAAGAAGCTAAGAATAGCTCCAGGCCCTGATGAACGGCAGGCGTTATGGCAGCCGTTCCTGTATCACCCTCTCGGCTTGGGGAGTTTAACATGATCACACACTGCCAAGAGAGCTAATTACAGTTCAACCGCTAACTCATGCTCACGCCACATAAACACACGCTCCCACGCATACATATGAAGGAATCTGGCTCGGCAATTTTTATGCTAAGCGTGGGACAGACAGGAAGTCATAACTCATTCAAATGCGTGTCAATCAAGCGGTCTGAGGAATGTGTAAACTTAAATCGAATCTGATGGCTTGAGATGTAACTAATATTTCAGCCAATAAAGGTGAAGTGATTTCTGTGCCACCAAACAGAACTGCAGAAATAAAGACTGATTTCAAACCAGGGTTGTGTAAAATTCAGAACTAAACTGGCTCCTTTTTAATTCACAAGTGTAAATTGAATTGGCCACACCCTACATATCTATCTGTCTGTCTGTCTGTCTGTCTGTCTGTCTGTCTGTCTGTCTGTCTGTCTGTCTGTCTGTCTGTCTGTCTGTCTGTCTGTCTGTCTGTCTGTCTGTCTGTCTGTCTGTCTGTCTGTCTGTCTGTCTGTCTGTCTGTCTGTCTGTCTGTCTGTCTGTCTGTCTGTCTGTCTGTCTGTCTGTCTGTCTGTCTGTCTGTCTGTCTGTCTGTCTGTCTGTCTGTCTGTCTGTCTGTCTTTATGTCCATCCACGCATCCATCTATTTACAAACGTTGCTATTCTAGTTAAAGTGACATGAATTTCCAATGCATTTGAATTCTATTTAATTACATTCAAACTCAAATGTCAGTACATGTGTAAAAACGAGCACACTCACTTCTCACAATGAGGTTGGCGGTTCTTCTCGCAGGGTTTCCCACATTGTTGACGGCTGTGCAGTTGTAGACGCCGGCATCAGCGGGAGTGACGGACTGGAGAGTGAGGGACCCGCCTTGGATCACGGAGCGCTGAGGGAGGGACCCAGGGTACCGCGACCAGGTGACCCTAGGTGTGGGGAAGCCCGCTGTTACCTCACACGACAGCGTGACGTCTTGGCCTGGGTCCACCACATACGTCTCATTCACAGACAGCTTTAGAGCAGGGGGGGCTGGGAATAAAAAACAGTGTACAAAAGTGTGCATCATTTAAAGCTGGTGGGTTTCCTGTTTATGTCTTGATGTCTTGCATTTACAGAATAGAGCAGAACAAGCGAAGAGCAGGTGGTCTTGCTCCAACATGTGAACACTTCAAAGCTAAAAGTGTTTCGACAAGAGGGTCAATCCTACCACTGATCAATAATAACATTTCATGAGAAATCACCTCTTCACTGCTTCCTCTAACAGCTATTTTTTCACATAACTCAAGGCCCATGGCAGACTCTTTATAGTATCTCTTTAACTGATTCCTTCTTTTAAAGCCAAAGTGTCCTGTCAGCTGATTTGGCCTCTTCAACTGCTGATCATTAACCTCAAACTTTAGATATTTCCTTTTACTTTAACTCATTCCCACAGATCACAAAAACATGTCATGGTCATATTCCACCCATGCACATATACATATATATATATATATATATATATATATATATAAAGAAAATGAAACACATTTTAGGACCATTCAGATCTTTTTGCATTATAATATTAATACCATGACAATTAAACAGCTGCAGAAAAAAAATGTAATACAATGTATTTTCTATTATTTAAAAAGCATAAAGTAAACAGCTGAAATATAGTCAAATGTGTTAATCGGAGAAACTCCTATTGGTATCTGAAAACCTTTCACATTAAAGCTAAAATATTTATGGAGATAAAAGCTGCATCTCATTTCAGAGGCTGCGTACTCCTTCACAGAGAAACAAAATATTTACTATGCTATACACAGACGGCTGCAAAGAGACTGTCTCTCTGTGTTTCTAACACTGACACAAACACATCAGTCCTCATGAGATTTGAATTTCTCAAGTCTGTTTTTTATGTAATCATGTAGGAAGAATCAGGAAACTACAGTGGAAATGAAATGGAGATTTGAACTTGCATACCCTACATCGACCCCTCTTTCATGTCACACAGCTCACCCACAGTCTGTCTAAATGGCATCACTTCCATCTGTGTTCATTATTTCTGCAGTCTAGGACTGTCATACTGTACCTGAACAAGACCAGACTGCATCATAAACTCATTAGTTAAAATAAATGACTGAAATTAGAAAGCAGAAAACCTGCCAATGTGCTTTTCATCTACCTACAAATTAATTGTCATTGGCAATATCTGAGCTCTGAATAGACTTGTAAAACACCCCACATATAATGCCAAAAAAATCTCATTCAACATCTATGAACCCAGTTAAAACTGATCCAAAAAGTTGAAACATATTTTCAAAAGAGCATCAGAAGTGATTAAAAATGTGATTTCAAAACATAATGATAATCATCATTCAAGTCATAATAATCAACATTTTGGCTTGTTGTCCAGTAAAAATATCTAAACATCCTTAAACAAGATTTAGAAGCCAAACTGTGTACAATACAAAGTTTTGTTTTCATAGAAAACAATTTTGAATATGTTTAAATCAAAAATCCAACTTACTTCTCAAGTCAACTGAATATGTTTTAAAGATATTTAGATATATTTTTTAAAAGATTAAAAATACAGAATAAGAAAATGACTTTTTCACAGTGCAGTCTGGGTCATCAAAAAGTGTTTTGACTGATATCTCCCCAACTATTCTTTCATTCAACCAGAGATTAAAATATACTAACTCTTTAGAGAGGAAGAGATGCTAATATAATATGACTCAGACCTGCATTCAATCAACCAAAGGTGGTTTAAATTTTATGTCCCACAAGCACTACAATCCAGGATAATCCCAAAAATAGGAGATAGGGTGAATCTCACGCAACCTGTCGAGTACATTTCTGGGCCATATTTCACCCCAAAATCAAAACCATATTAAAAAATAAATAAGCATAAAGAAATGTGTGTGTGTGTGGGGGGGGGGGTTTATTAAATTGGCATTATAG